AAAGCACGTGCTCTTGTAAAATCCAAGCATGCAACCCGTTTAAAACAGGGAAATTTATCTCAAATAGCGTTTGGAATATACCCTGGTTGTATAGCAATACCAAAAGCCTGCTTTTTCTAACTCCGCACCCGAGTTTCCGAGTTAAAATAACCATATACGTAATAAATTCAGTCTTCAACGCAAACCATTGTTAATTACACACTATAGCCAATGAATTATCTCCTCTTGGCATTACTAATGTATAGATAACGAGGAAAGTACCAACCAAATACCCAATGCATGCAAATCCTGCATTTTGCAAATTTTCAATCGATAATTCGATGTGCATTATTATAACTAAATTTTGACAGACGTATTTGTAAATGTAATCGCGGGTGAAATATACATCAGTTCAGGCATGCTCCCGTTTTCCAAGTATAATCTCGAGATAGCACGCACTCGCGGCTATCAAAGAGTATTTTGTACGTAGGATCTTATAAGCGATGAGAAGCGATATGTTTTTGCACTGGCATACGTACCAAATAAAGTCACGACAGTGCGAACAAAACGTCGGTTGTCTCAGAAAGGTGGCCATGAATTTGTGTCCATTGATTTGGTGAATCCTTCGTCGCATCGCTCTCCGACGGTTCAAGGGCTGTTTTTTCTCCTTAAACTCATGCCGGTCCTTCTTGCCTTTAGCACGGCTGTGTTCTCCGCCGCTATATTCTCCATAGAAACTTGGTTGCCGCACTAAAAATATTAAATCATGTTGTTGAATCATGTATGCTTATCGAATATTGAGATTTTTCCTTACTTGGTGCATTCCACATGGCTATTTTCAGTCGTAACCTTCCCGCAGGTTCTAGTTCGACCTGCAACAGTTTTTATTGTCAATTAGCCTTAGTGACTAAGATAGTGACTAAGATCTCTTAGCTTTAATTGAACATTATTGTGTATAATAAAAATTTCACATTTTTCTACAAATTCCGGTGTACAAAATACACCTAATTTTTCTTCCGGAAAAAGGTCGTGGAATATAATTATAAAAAGTCAAAAATTAGTTTTAAAGAATTTATACACTTTCAGGTTTCTAATTAATAAAATTCCTTTTTTAGAATTAATTGTTCGAAAATTAGCGCGCTCTCGAAGATATCGACTTATATCAACAGCGACGCGGCGACCGCGGCGAGGGGCGCGCTGCCGTCGCTGCCGATCGTCGATTGTTTATACCGGTCCGCGCTTGCAACGCGACGATGCGAGACGAGCAGCTGAGCGATCTGCTAATCTGCTTCATTCGGTCAAGGTCCACGGTACTGAAAGCACGTTGCGTTAGTTCCCCGAATTCATTGTTCACTTGTGACTTGTGAGATTTTAATACTACAGCGATGTTACAGTGACGAATCGCGATAAAGTGCGGCCCAGCGAGATCGTTTTGTAAAGCGTATATTTGCGCGAGTGGTGAATCCGAATCTAATAAATGATAATCTACTCGGAACGTAATTGTAAACAAACGGTGGCGTTGTGCTATTTGGTGCTATTGCTTACGAGGCACCCGCCTCGTGCCCGCGACCGGATCACGACCGGATTGAATGGTGCGTGCGTGTGATAGCAGTGCGTAACAAACGGAGAGAGTGAAAAAGCATCCCTGCCTTCCCAAGAGGACGCATTACACGCGCGCTTCCTGCGAAGGACGTATTTACGTGAACCATCACGAGGATTCCTCTACATTCCTCGCTGTCGTCGCCATCGACGATCGAGCTGCGTTCATCAACGCTAAGTACTCCGTTCTATTTTCAGTCCTCGAACGTTCGGATAAGCGTGTACCAAGCGTGCACCGCGGGCTCGTTCAAGCCCATCCGACATTCGTCGTCGGATAACTCGTGTCGTACGACAGACGCTTTTAATATTACAGCTCGTCGGATTAGGAGACCGAGTGTCGGCTTACACAACCGTGTTGCACGCGTTAAATATGATTCTCTCGATTCCGCGCTGTGCGTTCAACTCGAGGCGCTTCCTTGTACAGTATCATTTTCGGGATATTCGGTTTTAATTAATTGTTTTTGCGTTGCGATATCCTCGAGTGCGTCGTCGTATCGCCCGTTACGCCGGCGCCGGGTCGCATTGCATTCTTCCGTAGGAATAAGAATGACCAACCGGTGAGGGCATTACACATGCTTTGCATCATCATATTAAGCTTATCTCTGCGAATTATTCGATTTATTAACGTAACGTATGCATTGCTGTACACATTATTCAACTGATTAGTTTTAGTTTCCGCGCGTTGTGTCTCACACAGACTCATTCCAATTGCATCGTTGCAAGTTATGTTAGATTATTACACGTGCGTTACGGCATTTACAATAATTCTCAAGTCACTCAACTATTCGTACGCGGCATGAAAATACTTTTGTTGTCTTATAAAAGTAACTCCTTTTCGTATTTACTGCTAAATATTTGCTAAATTTTGTTAGATTATTACACGTGCGTTACGGTATTTACAATAATTCTCAAGTCACTCAACTATTCGTACGCGGCATGAAAATAGTTTCGTTGTCTTATAAAAGTAACTCCTTTTCGTATTTACTGCTAAAT